GCTAATGTGGACCACCGGACGGATGCCGTCATTCAGACCACAATTCGCCGCAAATTCAGTGACCGTACGGTCCTTACGATCGCTCACAGACTCAACACTATTATAGACTGCGACCGCGTTTTGGTATCTATTATACACTATTCCTTAGTATTTATTATATAACATATCCATCCCTTTCCTCCCTTTCCCTGCCATCAGGTGTTAGACGCGGGAGAGATCGTCGAGTTTGACGAACCCTTGGCTTTACTGCAACGGAGGGGACAGTTGTACGACATGTGCAGAAAGACCGGCGAAGATATGTTCAACCATTTGATGAATTCGGCCGAAGAGTCACATCGACAGCAATTGAACGCCAATGAAGTGGTGGAGGAACCGGAGGACAGGGAGTCGAGCGGTTCGGATGATAGACATACCAACCATAAGGACAATGTTGTGGACAATGAATGAGATCTATGACTGCATTCATACGACCGATAAGCTATTGAAATGAAATACTCGACAATATTTCACATAAACTTGTCATTCATTTCTATTTAATTAGTAATTATTACATGAAATCAAGATTTTGTTTATAATAAATATTTTCATTCATAAAATTCATTTGAATCTTATTTTAGCATACTTTCTGATTCTGATAACTTGTTGCAATGACTAGCTGTAAGTAATTATTATTTATTACTAATAAAAAATTAAAAATACAAAAATTTAATTACATAATTTAAATAAATTACAATAAATTACACTGATAAAAATATATATTACAAATATTACAAAAAGGTTGAAAAATTTATTGAAAATATTCCAAATTTAGTGCTTGGGGTCTAAATAATTAAAATTAAATAAATTACAAAGCTTAAATTGAATAAATTAAGCATAAACGATGCTTAGAAATTCAATGATATGTTAAAAATCAACATATCCAACATACATTATCATTGCTTAAATATAAATTATAATAAATTACTGCAATCAATTGAATGAACATTTAATTATTTATTTTAATTGTTCATATAATTCAAAATTAATATTTTATGATACTATTTGACTTGTCAAATGATAATACAGTCTTTTATTTTAAAATAAAATATTTATTTTAATAAATGGTTTTAAAAATATTTTAAATGTGTTATCAATCAAACAAAAAATACAATATTGCTATAAATAACTCATAAAATACTCACGACTGACAAGTGAACACATTATTAAAAATTAATTTTTAAAACGGATTTTCAAAACATTTTTACTTATCAAAAGGTCTTGGGGATTTTTATGTGTCTAGTCTATATTTTGACTATATTTAAAACATTTATAAATTTACACATACAATAATTGTAATTAATTTCTTTAATATGGAATTTATCAGGCAAGAATTAATTTCTATATCTATTACTCATTTAGATATTGCTATTACATTGAAATGAAATGCTTGATTATTAATTAAAATATACTGATGAATTATAATGTAAATATTTATTTATATTTTTACATAGTGAATTTTTGTGCTCGCTCAGATAAATTAATTAAAATATAAAATAACTAACTATTATTTATGTAGATATTAAGGTTTATATATAATTTTATAATTGATTAACAGTATTATTATTACACTGCTAATTGGATGTCTGGCTTATTACCTGGCTCGATTTTATGTCCAAGTGGCCGATTACCCACCTGGACCTATGCCCCTACCGCCGATTGGCAGTGTTTTATGTAATATATTAAATATATTTTATCAAATACTAATTACTCACAAAATTAATCTCACCATGACTAGTTTTACGATATCCTATGACACAATTTAATTGGTTAATACATAAATTGGCTAAACTGTACGGCCCAGTATATACTATATGGATAGGTCAAATGCCTTTAGTGTTTATATGCGACCTGAAAGTGGCCAGGGAGGCTTTCAATAAATGGGAATTTTGTGGACGTCCCCCTAATTCGAAAATGGGTAATTTTTGAATTTGTCAAAATGGCCTTGCTATATTTAAGATAAACGGGCTCCACTTACTTATAACATTAGTAATTGCTATAGATAAAATAATGTTAACCTATGATTTATATTATTCAACTAAATATCATATTTAGTGAATTTAATTTGTAACGAACGACATCGTGATATATTATTTAACAATTATGGACCAAGTTGGGAATGTCTGAGAAAGGTCACTCACGCGGCTATTAAGTAAGCCTTAGTTTCTGAACGGTGTATCATTTAGTAACATTTTACTATGCTCACCATAAGCTATTTTATATAGTTAACATGATAAATTTTAAACATATCTCAAACAATTTCAGAAAACACGCTAAATCCGACCAATTGTCACAAGTAGTGGACGAATGTATGACTGAAATGATTGCACTTATGGTGAGTCGAGAGGGTCTTAATAAGCCATTTGTGCCCAAAGTATTCGTGAACCACATGTTGGCTAATATCGTAGCCAATTCAATATTAAGCCACAAGTAAGTGGTATTTATGTCTAGTTAAGTTAAGTTCTACCTTGTCTATAAAAAAAATATGCTCTAAACACTGAAATAATTAAATTTTAATTATAAATGTCACCGATTACTGTACAGATTCGATATTGATCAGGAAGAATTTAAGAATCTAAAATTTTGCACCACCGATTTTCATAAGGAAATAGATGTCAAAATTGTACTTTATGAAACCATGCCATTATTACGCTATGTTATGCCAGATCCTACGAAAATCTACGCGATGCACCATGGTTGCCTTATGAATTGTATTCGTAATCTATACAAATCGCATGGCGATACTTACGATAGTGAGGTTACGCGCGATTTTTGCGATTCACTCATTCACGCTAAGCGTGACACCAAAATGTTACCCTATTTAACCGATGATAATATACAAATCACCTTGTTTGATTTATTTATGGGTATGAAAGTGAATATTTCTTAAATACATTATGTGTTAATTATACATTTTAAAATTATTTATTAAATCTGTAAGGGGTCATTCAATAAGTACGTACGCACCGAATGGGGAGGGGTCAGGTCACAAGGGTATTTTACAGTATTTGGGGGGAAGAGTACAGTGAGAGTTGGCGTATATTTTGAAGGGGGGTGGGTTAAAGAAAGTTTATGAATTTTTCTAAGGATTGTATTATAATATTATGAATGGATTTAATCTTAATGTGTGATAAGGCAATATACAGACTTTCTATACAATTTTATTGAAAATATTTTTGAACATAATTTTGGACTGAGTTTGAGTACATAATGTTATATTTTAAATGTTTAATCAAGTGCATTTTTATAAGCATGTGAAATAGACTACAATTTTTAACACTTATTTTTGCCACTACTCTGAGATCAATTAACATGGTGATTATAATAATTATTAACGTACTGTATATTTGAGGTAAATTAAAGTAGAAAATTAAAAAATAAAAAGCATATATATTATATATTAAAAAATATATTTTTGGGGGGTGTTGGCAAAAATGTACGTATGCATTAGAGGGGTTTTGCGTACGTACTTATTGAATTTCCCCTAATGATAGTAACAATTATGTTCACCGTAGGGGGTATAGACACTTCATATAATGTGTTTAATTGGATGTTATTATACATGATTTATTATCCGGAATATCAGCAAAAGTTGCGTGATGAAATTGCGAGTACGATAGGTACCAAGGTACCGGGTGTCGATGATAAATCACATTTAAACTATGCGATGGCATTCGTTTACGAAACATTGCGAATACGAAATCCTCTACCAGGGTGTGTCGTACATAGTGCTTTAGCCACTAGTGAACTAGGTAAATTTAATTAATTTATTAGAATAGGTCGTGTATATTTTATTGTATTAATAAATTGATCAAGCGACTAGTTCTCAATGTATTAATATTAAAATAAATGTTTTATTTCTACAGGTAATTAAGAAACTAGTTATATATTATATTTAAAACATTAACGAAAATGAACTTTATAAATTATATAATATAATTGTTGAATATTTTTCTATATAAATGACCAGGTGGACATACAATTCCTGCCGGTACTCCCATAGTGTTTCACCAGTTCTCGGTACTCATGGATGAAAAACAGTGGCCTAAACCTAACCTATTTAAACCGGAACGATTTCTAAATAAACATGGTACATTTATTACAAACAACCTTAATGGGTACAATGCGTTCAGCGCAGGTAGGCGCAAGTGTCCGGGCGAACAATTGGCCATCAATGACCTATTTATGACCCTGGTCAGATTCCTACAATTGACTAACGATTATAGGGTTGAGTTATATGGCGAGGACTTGCTTGGTGATATACTTGAACCCGATTCATGGAGTTGTATGATACATGTGCCACAAGATTATCGTATTGTATTGAAAGCCAAATAAACAAATATATAAATTGCGACATTCAATGAGTACGTGTCACCTTATTTGTAATATATGATGTAGAGATTAAAATTACATACAATAAATGATTGTGGTAAATGTGTATGTACTGTATATGTATTTGCATTGTTTAAATGATATTAGAATTTGTTTTATTGACTTTATTAATAAAAATAAAATGTACAGATAATTACATTTATAAAACATTTTATTCAAGGATTTTATTCTAATCAAAACACTAGTCAAACAAATAACTCATATTTTATTATGTTAATAAAATATATATTGACAATAAACTAATCAACAAATAAATAATTTTTTAATCTACATATTTGTATAACAATATTTATCAAAGGCCTTATTAAATTAATGAATAAATATGCAAATAATAATTTTCATTGTACATTTCATACATAATCGGAGTGGTTAGCAAATTATTTTTCTAATTGAAAAATTTGATTATACGGTATACAGTATGTGTAGAGTGTACGTACACTACTTGTCATACATCATAGATGATTATTAAGATTCATTTGAGAATTAAATAAAATTAACTATTACAGTAGGATAATAATGGGTATATTATTGGACATTTGTTTAATAATACATGGCTGGATAACTCATTTTTATTTAAAACTTTTAGATATAATTTATTTTTTAAAAACTAAAATTAAACATAATTTTAAAGTTTATGTGAAATTCTGTGTAAAAGTGTTGTGTCTTTCAGTGCTATTCTACGGAGGAATAGAAGTGACAAAAGAGTACTTCAGTTATCCATATGTTTACAGACTTAGTGTTAAACCATC